GTTGAAGAAAGGAGTAGGTATGGGTGACATGCGAATTAATCAAAGTTTTTGTGAAGCACCTATTTGATGATTACTTTTCAAGTTGGAGTGTGTGACTTAAGTTTGCTGGTGTAGAGTTTTAATTTGTCATCTTGTTCCTTATTTACATAATGTGGCTGTGTCTCAGATTTTCAGGGTCTTCTCTGATCATAATTGATCTATGCTAGTTTGCATATTTTCTCTAGTACATCACTGCATATAGTCTCTTCTGCTTCCACATAATAAATACACTAAGCAACCCTGAAGCTGGTATCAGACTCTCTAAATCTCTGTACTTATGGTATAATGAAAACGGGCTATTTATTTTCTTCATATTCCTTTTGTTATGGAACACATGACAACGATCTGTCTCCCTGTACTTTGATAGTCTCTTGCGAGACTTTAAAATTGTATAAATAAACCAGTTCTTCATCTAGCACTTCGGCATACTGAAAGAATTTTAGATACGAAGACCATTTTTCTTTTAATGGCCCTGCTGTTTACACTCAGTCATATGATTTGCTAGATATTTCAGGCTGTAGATTTATGTGCTATCAAGTGAAGGAATTATTTGTCTAATCTCAGGAAAGTGAAGTCTACCTAAATATAAATTTGATTTACTATTTTGCAGTCCTTCAGAATAATACTCTTGCTTAAGGAGAGTGTGTACGATTTTGTTAATAGCTCAGCTATTTCACTGCTAAATTTCTTCCATTAGCTCATGATGGATGTTCTGTTTTATTTAGAAGAATGAGCATTGCATTCATTAGGCAAACTTCATTAAATTTGGAGTTCAATCAACTAGAACTATAATTATATGGAAAAGAAACTTCCTAATCTGACATTTGTAAAACTGAGCCCTTTTGGAATCAGTTATTATCTTATGCAACATGACCAACCAAGCCTTTGTATTGAATAGAGGCAGACCCTGGGAGGAGTGCCTTCAGCTAGGAGAAGTGTTATTTTCTATTATAATTTAATTGTTTTATAGCCTTCTTCACCACAATGAGACATCTGCTCTCTCTGTACCCTAAGCAATAATAGATCAGGCTGGCTGAGGTGGTAGTAAGTAATCAGTATATACTCTAAACTATTATCTCATTGTTTAGAGTTACTTTATCACTTTTCAAATGACACCTTCTGCAGTTTAAGTCGGGGAAGACTATCCTCCTGTCCTTTAAGGCAGAATTTATTGATCTTAGCATGGCTATGAAATGAAAAAAACCATACCCTTATATGAATGGAAAATGATTTCTCTTTGTGACTTTAGACTGAATGGTTTGTATCAGCATTGAGAGAGGGAAGTACAACTGCCTATCCATTGTAGTCTGTTTTCCCTATAGCACCATGGGTGACTGTAATGCAAGCCGGTCATCTTTGAACGCTTGCTGCTTCTTCCTGCTTCGGATTTCAGCTGCTGCCTTGCTGGTAGTTCGGTGCATTTTAAGGTGGAGGAAGACAGCTATGACAGCGTCATTGCCTGTTCTGGTTAGGTTGTGGGCCTCAGCAGATACAGAAGAATTTCGTGGAAGCTGTTATTTAGGAACAAGTGAAGAATGACATACCTTCCACATAGTCCTCCAAGAAAGAAGCTGAGAGCGATTAACTTTAATCTCTAACCCAACCTAGTGTAGCCCACAAATGGTTTTAAGTTATACCTATCTTGCAGCATGGGGCAGCCTCAGTGTTATGTTACGTCTGTTGTCCTTTGTGTTGCCTTATGTCCGGCTCTGCCCTCCATTCTTGTAGGCACAAGACTTCTGGATATGAACTCTGCAGTTTGGACTCTTCCCCCTCTATGCCCAGGAGGAGGGAATTAGCTTGCTTTGTACTGCCTGATCGACACTAAAGGAAGAAGGCTGGGTAGACAATCTGTTGCAAAATATTGACTGTCATCTCCTGACCTTTTGGAAATGTGTTCAGCCAAAAAGGTTTGAAAAACAAAGATTGCTCTTCTGAGTCTTCCTCAAGAAAGAAGTGCTGGTGTGCAGTTAGGGTTAGTTACCATATGTTTAAGAAGAAAAAGGAAAAATAAACCAAATCTGGTTGAAATAGCCTACTTATTCATAAGAAAGAAGAAAAATGAATAAATTATTATGGGTTAGAGTGTAAATGCTATCCTTTGGAGACCGTGGTAAGAAGTAGTTGAGCTCTCACATGGAGTCTAGAAACTATAGCCATACTGATCTGCATCTCAGAAACGGGCATGTGTCACTGCTCAGGGAAGAGGAATGTGTGAGCTGAAGGGGCTTTGCTCAGTAATGTTTTGTTAGGTGCTCGTGAGTCTGTGAAAGATAGACATAAAAGATGAGAGAAAGGGGCAAAAAGGCAGCAGGAGGGAGAGCTTGTACAAACTATTGGAGTGTGGCCCAGACAAAAGCTTGGAATATGAACCTACACCTTTAATTGATTCAAAAAATGCTGAACAAGTCTGTTTTGCTCTATCCAACTGCATTTCTTTCTGTAGCTGCAAACAATGCTGGAGGATCTTGTGTGAAACAGGTTGTCAGTCAATCCTTATTGAAGACTACTGGTTTAGGCAAGAGTTCTATATATGGGGTTGAGGGCTCAGTTTTAACAAGGTGAGGATGAAAGCAAATTTCTTGTCTTTGCTTAGTGAATTTGTATTGTTCAATTGCTATGGATGCGTTAGGAAACTATGGACACTTTGGGTGAATTCTGCAGGGAGCTCTGTTCCAGCAGTGCTGGCCTTGCCACTCTGTCTCTGCTGTCTGGATGCATCTATCGGGTTGGTTAGATTGCAAAAATAATCATGGGCTTCTGCATTTCCATGGCCTTTCCTTCATGGATCTGTGCAGAAAACTCTATGGAAAAGGTTGTTTAAATTTGTATTTTTGAAGATATTTTCTGCAGGGCTGGAAAGTAGATTTTCTTGTGCTCAATGTATCTCTGTCCTTAGCCCGTGGACACTTGAATGTATTTTTGAGATCTAGAAAACTGGATGATGGTGCAGTGGTGTCTGAACTTTTTTCTGGGGTGGGGGACGACAATGACACACCAATGCATCCTCATGCAACGTATTCTTCTCACCCCATGCCATTTATAGAATATGAGAGCTTACTGATCTGGTTATCGCTGTGTTTAAGTCAGAAGGTTTTTATTTTTTAAAACTATTACAAGAGGAGCTTTCAGGATTTCCCAAAGCTATGTATCCCTATTTGTTCAAACACATTGTGTATTTTTAAATGTTATCAATATGGTTTAAATAAAGGAGCAGAAATTAATTTGAGTGCCATGGCAGTATAACACATTCCAACTTTACGTCAGAAATACTTTGTCAGCTAATACTGAAGTTAGTCCTTGTGTCATGGTCTGGTTTGCATAGTTTTGAAGTGATAAATTAGATAACTGTCACCTTATGCTTATTAAAAGGTGTGAAGTTAAGCACATGCTGTAGCTCTGCTCACAGGGACCTCTGCTTCAGCACAAGCAATGGAATTTGTCACTTGGCTGAAGGTGTTAAACCTTACAGTACTTACACACCATGATGAATTAATTTCTTGAGTCACAGGTGTGCCTGGTGGCCACGTTGTCAAAGGCTATGTCTTTTAATTAATCTTAAGAAAGGTAGTATGCCCCCATCTGTACTTGAATATTCTTAACAAATGCCACTGACTTAAGGCTTTCCATATTGAGTTTAAGTTAATTAAAACAGATGCACGGCTATTTTTGAAGAAATTAGTTGGTGATTACTTTTTCAGAGACTGTTGTGTTTAATTTTTATCACTTGGAGAAAGAAATCTCTGAAAATGGAATTAAGCTTGCATGTAAGTATCAGCCATTTAGGTGTGTAAAAGAAATACAAGGGTGGTGATGGCTTCATTCAGTTATTGTTATGCTTGAGAGAAAAAAATTCTCTAAACATGTAAAAATCAGAAATGAATGAAGAGAAACAGCAAAGCAGCAACACCGTACTGTAGAAATTCCATTAAGGATAAAAAACATGTTTAAAAAAAAAAAATTGCCTTAACTTGTTTGGAGACTACTGCCATTAAATTGCTTAATCACATAGTTATTGTACTGTTTTGTAGAATACTGGTATAAACAGTGAAATTCAGCCACTTTCTGAACGTGGAGGAAGTTTTACACACTCCATGAAAATAAATAAACCATGGTAATTCTTGCTTTCCTCTAGAAACAAAGACCTCTGCCTAATAAGCTTAGGTTGGGATGGCCTAAGGAGGTCAAGGCTAACATAGTTATCATGGTCAGTGGCTCACCACCTCTTCATTCTGTCTCCCTTGTACAAACCGATGAGTCACTCATCAATCAACTCTAAATTGCTGCTGTTTCAAGTGAATGGCATTTTAGGGTAAAGCACCATTGATTTTTATTTGGCTCTAAATGCTCTTTAAATGGTGACCATTCAGGTATCCATTAGCACTTCATGGTGTGGGTCCCTGCTGGCAGAGACCTGAACATCTTGGGGCTGTGGCTTTATTGCTCAAGCTGAGCCAGGGCATCCCTGCTCATCACTCTGTGCTTTCAGTGACTAGGTAGCTTCCATAATTGCAAAAATTTGAACGTTTCAGCAGTAAATGCTGGGAAATGCGAGGCATTACTGCAAGTACCGTTTGCTTTATCTTGCATATGCTTTTTTTAACATTTCTGTCCTAGAATTCCTAATAGCTTTTTGAAGCTGAACATCTTTCTGTCCTTTTTTGTCCAAGTACAGTTGCTTATGTTCAAGTTAGAAAAGCAGATGAGAAGGGGTTCTTTCTACCTTTAGTTTTCTTTTCTCCCCAGAAGCCAAACTGTGCCAGAGGACTGATGGTTTTGAAAGAGAAGTGTCATCCTTTTATGTGGCTGCTAATTCCTTGCTCATTTTGATGATTCTTTGTACTGTCATCTTTGTAGTAACTTTGCTTTGCTACTGCTTGGGTTATTTTCTCACGTTTGTGATGTTTAAGAAAAGTAATGAAATAATCCCTTGTAATAGAAATCCTTCTTTTTGCGTGTAGGAAACTCACAAATGGGTGCTACCATAGTAGATGCATTGGACACTCTTTATATCATGGGGCTTCACGATGAATTCAGAGAAGGACAAGAGTGGATTGACAAAAATCTTGATTTCAGTGTGGTGAGTAGATAATATTTCTCTAGGCCTTTTCACAGGGTTCCTCTTGGGGTGAGACAGAAGAGGTCTTTGAGCTGGAACTTAAAAAATCTTATGATTAAAAGTTTCAGAAGTTCAGGTGTAAGCTTTAGTGAACTTCTCTGTGTTTTTAACTTTATGTATTTTGAGAAAAAAACCACCCCAACGCTTTCACACTTTAATTATAAGTAAAGATACATGTATATATTGTGTTTTCAAAGTACAAATTATAATTGGATAATGAAAGAATGGGATAGTGGTCAGTGAGACCCAACAGGGCCTCAGAAATGAATGAATGCAGAAAAATGTGGCTTTACTATCTGATAGCAACTGGAAATAACTGAGCTGTGAAAGACCACTTCCCCAAAACCATAGTTTATAAACTACTTAACAATACAATCTCCTCTTCTCCCATGTCCTTAAGATGTTTTACATGAAGAACGCCATTTGAGTTGTCTTAGTTTGCCTACTGGTTCTAAATCTACCAGAATAATTTCCCAGCTAGTCATACAGCCTCTGACATCTAGGCATTCTTTTTGTGCGCAGAGTTTAGAATCATTAAATGGAAGAATGGCTCTATTTTATCCTTGTTGATTAGTGTTCTTATTACTAATTTTGGGACTGTGTCACAGTCTGGGACAGAATTTGTATTTCAATCCTTGGACTTCCCCTATGGTTCCAAAAATAACTTTTCAGTAGTGCCAAAATGAAATGTAGGTGTACAGTCAGAATTGAGTAGATGCTTATTGTTGTTCTTATATTATATATATTATTATAATGTCATATATTATACCTATGATATCCTACATTTCAGAAATTATTTGTTTGAGGTTTTTTCCTCGTTTTATACGTTGGCTATCTGGCAAACATTAAAGAAATTCTGCTCTGCTTTTTACAGTTAGTGCCAGAAAATTAGTCAGTCTAAAACTGAAGACCCTAAATATATCAGAGGTGGTATAGACATAATGGTACCATCATAAGGGTGAACTAAATTGCTCCCATAACTTTTGTCTGATCTGAGGCAATCTCAATATAAATTTGCAGAATTAGTCTTGGATTTGGGTGGAGGAAATTTTCATGACCCACTGAGGTTCAGTTACAGCTTCCTATGTATCAAAAAACATTGTTGGCTTAGATCTGCCAGACTTGAGTGATTTCCTTATATGGTTTGAAGTTTATAAATAAATAAATACTTAAATACTTTCCTCTTGGATTCTTTTACTGGGAAATAGAAGTCCTTGTTTTCACTGTACACTGTGCCACTGCTTGTGTGATTCATGACTTTAATAGTTATTGAGTGGAATTGTACACTGTGGTGTTGATATCTTTCTTATGTCACCTATATGTGAACAAAAATACATCTTTTACTAAAAACCTTTGTTTGGGAGTATTTCAAACCTTAGACTTCTAATCATCAGTGCTATTTGAGGAAATCTTTAAAGTATTCATATAATCTTTCTGAAATAATATGCGCAAAATGCGTTTCTTTTGGATACAAGCTAAATGTGTGACACACCGCGGGTGCCATAGAAATAGTATGAAAGGAAAGATATACCTATAAATATATTTTCAACTGTGTGCTAATTGGCAGGTCAACTTGTACAATGTACATTCTAATGACTTTTCTGGATAAAAGGAAAGACTGATGTATCTGAAAATCTTTTAATAGAACTACATTTCTGTCTCTAATGCTTTGAATGAATAGAAGTTTATGGGGGAGACAGATGGGGTGCATGCAGGCAAAGGAGTGAATGGGGTGCAGAAGGAGGCAGAAAGATGCTAAAACCAGCTAGTTCCTCTTAATTTTTCAGTGGGTTAAATGAGTCAAAATGTACTGGTGAATTTAGCCCAAGGATGTTAATGTACAGGAAGGCAGTAAAATGGTTTATTCTCTTGAGTTTCTCAGTGGTCTTGCAGTATTTGTTGTCATAACATTAAATGCATAAAGGCTGTTCCTAGACAGAGACTATGTTAAAACGGAGCTCTGAATTTGAGATTGCACATTGGAATTCAGGTTAAGAAAGCATATTACCGGAGTTCTCTAATTATTATTCTACTTTATCCTGTAAACCCAGAAGATTTGAAGTTATGCTTAAACGTAAGAGCAAAGATGCCGTATTATGGAAATGTACAGTCCTTAGCTTCTTTCCCAGCATCCCCAAACAACTTTAATTGCACTTTGTGGTGATAATATGATTAGACAGCAGGAGAAAAAATAATCTGATTTTTAAAAAGCAGTTGAAGCTGTTACTGGAATTTGTCACTTGGTGTCGTGAAGATGCACACAGGAATTTCAGCATGGATCTAGATGCTAAAACAGTACAAACTCTTGCATGCATATTGGTTTAGGATATGTACTTGCCTCTGCCTAGATTATTATTTTTCCTTCTTTGATTAGCGAGTTGGTTAATTATTTACTCTTTTCTTCCTGTTCTAGAATTCCGAAGTGTCTGTTTTTGAGGTCAATATTCGCTTCATTGGTGGTCTTCTAGCAGCATACTACCTTTCAGGACAAGAGGTAAGGAGATGGAAGATGTCTGTGAAATTTAATATATTCTAGCAAATGTTGCATATGAAGAATTTTCTAGAATCTTGGTTTCGCAGTAGTTTTCAAACTAATTTTACAGCAATAAGTTGTACAAAGTAACCAAATTCTTAGAGTATGCAATCTTTAAAGCTTGTTTCTGTGCAGGTCTCAGTCAATTTAGGACCCTTTGTTAGAGCTTTGAAGTGCTACTTTTATCAAGATTTTTTCAATAGATATCCACTCAGGTAAACATCAGCTTGAAATGTCAAGTCACTAGCTTCTCATGCCAACAATAACTTGTTTTGATATTCTGTAACTCCATAAGGGTAGAAATAATGGTTTTGTCACTTGTCCTACAAGGCTGTAGGCTTGCTTCACAAAAGCGCTACACAATTTTCTCAGTGACAAACTGAAAAATATCAAGCCAATTTTGTCCCAATTCTGAAACTTCTATTAAAAAAGATAGGAGACATGTATTTCTGAGCACTTATCCAAAGGCATAGTTAGCTTGAAAGGATGCATATACCCAAAGACTTGCAACCATGGACTTCTTTGGTCTAGCAGTAACATTGCTGTGACCTCTTATTTCACATATTTTAACAAGGCTGGAGCCTGACCCAACTACAGATTAAGTCATAGCTCTTTTTATATCTTATTAGCTAGCTGTCTTTTGATCTGTTGCCTATGTCTTTGATTTGTTTACTTTTATCCTTCTTTTTTTTTTTTTTTTTTAAATGGCCCTTCTGTAGTCCACTATCTAAAACGTTAGACTTACAGCCAGCCATATGTCATGGCTTAAGGTTCGTTACACCTTCAAGTGTTCGTATATATCTTCCTCCTTTGTTTAGGGGAGCACCACATATGTATCAATGATATCAATCAGGGATTTTAAGCCCAGAGCCCTAAAAATAACCAGGAGAACCCCCATATTTGGTGGCTCTTTAGGTCTTTGACATCATCCTGGGATCTGTGAATTTTCTCTTGTAGGAATGTCTTGTCTTTGGAAGAAGAGCTTAGTGGCAAAGCACAAATTCAGCGTATTTCTTGAAGGAAATTGCTAGTTTTATTTTTCATCAGGTACTACTGCTTCACCTTCTTTGCTGTCCATACTCTCCAAGCGCACCGTCTGCAGAGGGTTCAGCTGCAAGAAGCCCTTCCTGCTGCGCTGATTTATGTGGTCTGTTATAGGAGGCCCAAAGGAAAGGAGAAGCACAGAACTTTGCCCCTCTCTTTCGTTTGGAGCAACTGAAGAGCTGAGCTTGTGTTCGTGGCAGTGAGCCTTCGTCTGCCTCCAGAATCTGTCAGGCCTAGGCCTCCCCTCAGAGTTTCCTCACAGTTCAGTAAGGATTTTACCCTCAGTGAGTGATCCTATTCCCCTGTGTTCCAAGTCAGCTTTTTAAACTGATTGCTGTGGCACCTCTTCAGGAAAACAGCCTTTCTAGCAGCTCTCGCTTGTCTTAGAGTAGTGGTGAAATTCAAGACCTGTTAGTTTACAGTTTTGTCCTAACAAAAGATGGCATAAAAATCACTGAATGATCAGCCCAAATATTAACTTGAGGCAGCTTCTGAATTTCATCTAGGTCAGCATTATTAACATACCATTTTTCTTTTGAAGGCCCCCAGAAGAGAAGCTGCCTTCTGCTGCCAATCATAAGCAAGGAAAACTGCTTGTGTTTTTATTTCTGTAGCAAAGGAGTTTCATGGAGAGCAGTCTGAGCTGCATGTACTTTTTGACTTGTGCCAAGGAGCAGCTGAAGTAGCCAAGCTGGAACCACCAGGAGTAGTTATGGTAGTTCCTACTGTAGTACAAGTGACCTCAGCATCATATTGAAGGATGCTTCCTTTCCAGAAATCTGTAGTTCTGCTGCTTGGAGCTCAGATCATATAAGTACTATGTGATCACTGAAGCCTTCAAGCATTGAGTAGAACAGTCCCACATCATGTTTTCAGCTAGGAATGTTGATCCTGTCTCTGGATAACTTAGTCAAACTGGAGCATGCTCCTTGGAGTCATCTACTGTGAATATGGAAAACCTTAGAGAAAGAGCAAAGATCACTCGTCAGTAGCTGGATTGTTTGTATAGATCAATAGCACACCTGTGCACAAGTACCTTACAAGAACTTTTTTGCCCCAATATGCAGATGGGTGCAGCCAAACACTGCCAAAACACATGCTTTGCCTGCGTTGGTAAAGCTGAGTATTTATTTTCCTTTCAGTTGCTTCTAACAGTTTGGTAGAGTCAGAACAAGCTCCTTTGCTTAAAGAGTTTTCATCAACACATTTTATTTCTTTCCTCCTTAGAAGGCTTTTACAGTCTGTGTTTTCTAAATTTTGGCCACTGGGCTGACTCTTTTGTATTTAAAAGTATTTTTATGGCATTGGTCTCTCCAATGGATTAAAAATGCTTCGTAACTTGTGGTAGAAGATTGTTCCTGTCAAGTGTTCATATGTATTATCTTTGTTTTCCAAAAGAAGAACTCTGAAAAAAAGTGTTCAGACTGCATTTCTTTCAAAATAGTATGGCAGATAGGACTGCTGCTGCTACCTGAGAGACTACTTCATTTGCCAAGTTAGATGGTTTCTCTGCAATTTGTCAGCGAGGATAAGACAGGCAAGGGAACTTGAGGCTTTTCAGTTATTGAGCCCAGGAGAGAGACACCTACCTCTGATGAGAACTCCTTTGAGTTGGAAATAGGTTTTTCAGATGTGATTTCCAATCTGGTTGTCTCCCTTCTGTTCCCAAGAAGGGAAGGTATTACTTGGCTCAGTATTGGGGCATGCTTAATTTCTTTTTTTTACTGCATTCAGACATGTGAGGAGACACTTCTCAGCCACTGCTAAGACAGGCAAGCCCCATCCCAAGTGTTTGGATGTTTTGTTTGATCAGGTAGTGAATGTGCACATGGGCTTATGCCTCTAAGGGAGAGTCTTTGTCTACTGGTAGGCATCCTTCCTTTGTTCTTCAAGCTATCAATTACTTGCTCATATTGCCTTCCCACGCCTTCTTGATATTCCAGTCCCCATCTCCCTTCCTCCAAGCCTCTACTTCTGTAAGACTGTTGCTAGATACTGGTTTAGAAGGTTATCATACTAATTTTCATACTTTTGCATGTCTTGTTTGATGTGTTGAAAAATAGGTCCGATACATGGAACAGGGCTGTTTGGAATTAATTCTGTTTTTCCCCTTTTAAATAAATTCTGCTTAGGTCAGCAACAGCAAGTTAATGCTGTTTGGTGACAGTTACAAAAACTATTCTTGGTGTTTGGTGACAGTTTGGTGACAGTTTGGTGACAGTTACAAAAACTATTCTTATTTCATTTTGACTCCTATCACTTAGTGCTGTTAAAGATGCTTTAGTGACAACTGTAAAAGAAAGTGCCCAGGACTCAGCATCAGCTGTGAAAGTTCAGTCATTTTTAGGTGGCCACATTTGGAGTATTTGATAGCATGATTTCTCTCTATGCTTTTGCCCTTTCTATGGAGAGAGTAATTGTGCTTGAAAGGGTTTTATCTGATTATGAGTCGTAATGCTAGATATTGATCATAGTTTTTAAATAAGTATGGATGTTAATTTAGATAAAGTTGTCCTGTTTACTGCTTCTATTATAAACATGCTAATTTAAAATTATTTAGCATGACTAGTGGCATGACTGTGGTCTCCATTTTAGCTGTCATGTTACTGGCATTGCTTAGAAGGAACATCAGCTGTGGTCGTAGTTTTAACGATGCTGGTTATAGTTGATGGTAAAATTTTAAACCTTTCATATTAAGATTGTGTGCATTGCTGTCCCTTTTTTCAGTAAGAATTCCCTCTTGCTCACTGCAGTGGATGGGGGAGTGATGAAATATATCTCCTTTACAAAGAAGAAAAAGCTGCTGTTTTTAGCAACTGACAATTTGCCCTAAAATGCTGTAGGCTTTCCCTGTCCAGTGTTGAGTCACAAACCTTTCTTTGTGAAACATGACACTTGTGAATTTTTGAACAGCTCAACCTTTCTGCTGGGCTTCCTTGAGTGATAAGCATGTAAAGCTTGAGGAGGATGCGTTTTCATGTCCCTCTGGCTGAATGTTTTGGCTGTCTTGCCTCCCTGTACCTTTCTGTTGACGTAGAGAGGCAAAAATGTTTCTCTGTCTAACAGGCAGCTCTCCTGATTTGGGAAAAAATCACCATCTTCCTCCATTTTTCCATATCAGAATGCCTTTTAAATAGAAGAAAATAAAGATATACCTGTGAAACTTGACACAGTGGAAAGTCTGCCCATGCATTCTATTTCAGTCTTCTCAAGTTGAAACAACACTGAGGTTTTATCAGGTGGCAGGGGTAGTAGGTCTGCAATCTGGGAGGCCCTTGTTTAAATCCTCTGCACAATAAATTTTTCCTGGATGATAGTGGACAGGCCATCTGATGTCTGACTAGGTGTATATTATCAGATCTAAGACTGTACCTTCTTTGTCTCAACTCTTACTTAGGAATGAGGTCCCAATCTGTCATTGCTTTTAAGAATCTTGGGTTTGGTTTTTTTTTTTAAGTTTTGAGCCTGTGGCTTTTCTCCAAAGTACATTATTGAAATATATAATGAATATATGCTAAAATAATGGAATGTAGAGTCATAGAATGGTTTGGGTTGGAAGGGACCTTTAAAGATCAACCCCCGTTGCCATGGGCAGGGACATCTTTGAACAGGTTGCTCAAAACCCCATCCAACTTGACTTAGAACACTTCCAGGGATGGGGCATCCACAATATCTCTGGGCAACCTGTTCCAGTGTCTCACAACCCTCATTGTAAAAAATTTCATCCTTATATCCTGTCGAAACCTACACTCTTCCAGTTTTAAAATAGTTGCCCCTTCTCCTGTCACTACAGGCCATGGTAAAAGGTCACTCTCCATCTTTCTTATAAGCCCTCTGTATATATTGAAAGGCCACTATAAAGTTTCTCCAGAGCCTTTTCTTCTCCAGGCTGAACAACCCCAACTCTCTCGGCCTTT